TGTGGGAGAAGTAGCCGCTCGAGGCTTCGCTCAGAGGGCTCGGGGGCCCTTCCTGCGACTCCTGGGCGTCTGCGGGCGGCTGCTGCGAAGGCACTTGGGGCGTCTTCTCCGGAGGCTTCTCCGCCTCCGCCGTCTGCACGGCCATTTCGAACGGCTGCTTCCCCGCTTCCCTGGGGTTAGTCTGAAACAGAAGGGGTAGCAACTACGGAGATCTGGTATCCAAAATATCAGGGCTAAAATGAAAATGAAACCCAAGGCCTTTGGGGAGCACCAAGCAGCAGGTTGTCTAAAGCCTGGGGTAGCTGCCATCTCCAGAAGATGCAGGCTGATCTGGAGTCAGCTCTCACCAACCTGGTGGGATTGTCAGCTCATTTCTTCCATTAATAAGAAAAGTGTCTAGTAAAAGAAATACGTTCCCCAATATTTACTGAAAAATTATTTATATTACAGGAACGGTCATTTGCTGTTTGAATAGCAGGATTTATGTGAAATGTGAAACAGCCATGATCTGTAAGTCTCTTATAGTTATTTGGCTTACCTTTCAGGATTGATAAATCATGGCTTTCCCACTAAACTGTCGTTTACGTCCCCGTTCCCAAATGCCATTTCCCACCTCAACGTCGCCGGCGCCGCACACTTTCAGAGTATGAAATTAACTGCACCTCCCGAGATTAACAGCCCATTTTAGTGATGTATTGCTTGGCTGTAAAGTTTACTAAATCTGATAGATCAATATCTTTCACCAGCACATGTACTCTAAAAAATTAGGATGACTCTAAATCTCTTTGGGAGGGCAGGAGGGAGGAGGTTGCTGATACGGAGGGGAGGGTGGGAAGGAGAGGTGGATTTGAGCGTTTTTTCAAGATTCATGATTCAATATCATGAATCGTCCTGAAATGTAAAACCGAGCATTAAGTGCAACGCTCAAAACAAGAGCCACGTTCTGTTTAAAGCAAGCGTTAGAGCTTAAGAGCTTAGCAATTTGCCTTTTAAAGCAGCAAAACAGCTAAATTTCAGCTAGTTAACTGCTAATGCAATCATATGATTAGCCAGGCTTTGAAATATAAAAGTGTAATGAGCAACATACGGGGAGACTCTTGCAGGACCTACGAAAACAAGAGCAACACACGCTGCATTTAACAGTCCCGGAATGAAGCAACAGCGAAATTGCAACAGGTTTTTAAGCAACAATCCCAGCAGTTGCTGTTACCACCTTTTCTTTCCAGTTATGAGAACGGGAAAACGGCACCCTCGTGTCCGAGGGGAAACTCACCTGTTTTATCCTCGTAGCACTGGCATCAATACTGGCAGACTGAACCATAATTCGCGGGACAGGCTGCAGGAATGGAAAAGCACAGCATCATTCACTTAAAGGATTAAATATTGTCAAGCTGGTATAACTGAGGAGAAAAACATTACAATTTATATTTGCAATTCTGGAATAGCAAGCAATCCTTTGTCACACACGGGCAGGGTGTTGCTGTTTTAATGCGTTCTGCTGACATGCTTTGAAGGGTCAAATAAATGCCTTAACAAGGTAACACAAGCATCCTTGAATTCTAACGCATACAGCAGCTACAAATTCATAGTGCCCTGAGTTTCCTTTTGTGCAGTCATTAAAACAGACCACTGAGCAACGAGATGACAAACTGCCCCGAGGTCATGCTGGGCTGGCTAGAAAAATCTTCCTTCTCCATCCCTGCTCTCTTAAGCCATGTTAGATTTTAGCAATATTTGCTTTCAACCAAATAGGAAGCCAAAAATGGCATGGTGTTTTCAAGTCACGAGGACCACTCCTCATTTTCAAAAGGATCTTCTCTCTTTCAACAGGATCTGCTCCTTTAGAGTCTGGTATTTGATTTGACAGGAAGGTTTCACTATGAATGTTGCTCTCTTGCTCCGTATGCAGCTTTTTTTTTTTTTTTTAAATTAAAGATGTGAAATAATCACTTGAAACACTCTCATGAGGCTGTAATGGCAAATCATGGCACTTGACTACAAATCTCAGGATAAGGTTGGGATCTCATGCACTGTTGACAGGAGAAGGAAAGGGACCATCAGTTCCATCCAGAACCTCGGGGAACGAAAGTATGAAGAAAAGGGAAAAGGAGAAAAAACACAGAAACATCTCTCCTTAGCACAGTTAAATAATGTACTGCAACTTCAGACTCAGACTTTCAAGCAAAGAGCTCTTTAAAGGATGATATATTATAAAATTTGGGAGCAGTCTGCTTTTTTTCCTTTTCTTTTCCTTCTTTTTTTCTTCCTGGAAGGGGGTGGAAAGTCCTTTGGCAGGAAATTTGCAGGCAGTGCTATTTCCAAGACAGCTCTACCTTCCAGCTGAAGAGTAAGGTACCCTTCTCTTGCATCCTTCCTAAGGACAGTAAAGCGGGAGTATGACTAATCCTCTTCCAAAAAAAACAGAGATAAGCACGGGGAAAAAGAGCAGCTATTATTTATGCAGCAATTGGCAGTTATTAAGTAAAAACATAGTCGTTCAAAGGGAAATAAAGAGGCAAAAGACAGAAAACAACAACTTCACAGTGGATCCAAACCATTTTGCAAAGACGTTAGAGGGTGGGCTCATGAAAAGCGAGCAGGAGAGGAGCAGGTTTTGCTTATCTTCAAACCTGCTGATGGAGAGTCTGCCACTAAAGTGGGGTCCAGAGCAGACTGGTTCTGTGGAAGGTGCCAACCTGAGAAATCAGCTTTTTGTGATCGTGCACTGGGAGCTAGTTCTAGGAAGCTGGGGATGACTAGAATTAGAACAAATCAATGATGCCTAAAAATAAACACAGCTTTAGGACTCCAGGAAGGTTCACGATGCAGCGGGGTTGAGGCAGGATTCCTGTTCCCTGGAGTTTCAGCTAAAGCAGCAACCGTCTAAATGGAAAGGACTTCAGCGAGCACACCAAAAGCCATAGCAAGTATATACTAATAAAACAACCAGAACACCAGCTTGTGAGTTTAGAGATTGCCTGGAAGAGCGAGGTATCCCAAACACATCTCGGATGTGCAGGGATAACTCAACAGCCACGTGTTCAGGACATGTTAGAAAGGAAAGGGACCATCTTATGAGCAGGTCCTGCCAGCGCTGGGTTCACAGCACATGTCACGGCGGCCCCATGAACAGGGGATGTGGCAGAACAGGAATTTTCTGCACTTCAACCGTGTTTGATCCCAGCAGTTGGGCCCTGAGGGGGCCCTGAGCTTGGGCAGGCAGCAGTGGGATCTCAAGCTCTTCACGATGGCATAAAAATATCAAATTTAATAAAAAAAGAACCTGCAGTCATAAGACTTCAGGGCTAATCCCTGGGCAGGCACCTCCATAGGACTTGAAACCTTTTGCAGCTGAACCTCAGCGTGAAGCTGCTGACTACAAATAAACCTAGTCAAACATCTTGGTGTTTGGCCCATCGCCCAAGATGAGGCATTTGGGCATCTCGGAAAGGCCACACGAAGGGGAACTATCGTCGTCCTTGTTTCTCATCAATCCAGGACGAGAAACAGGGCTGTTCCAGTAAAACGGGTATCTAAAACCAAGGCCTGCTCCAGTTGCACCAAAGCACCATGGAGCAATGTGGTCTTTTTGTCCCCCTTTCTCCTCGTCTTTGGGAAGCACTCCAAGGACTGGCATTACTATCTGGACACAAGCCCTTAGAATTGGAAGGAGAAAAAGTATTTAATGCTACTTCTCCATTCCTTTGATTTCCTTTCCTCTCCTTAAAAGGAATGCAGGAAAGTGTATTTTTTTTTTTTTTATCTCTCAAAAACCTTCAGTCTCGCAGCATGCAAATCCATGAAACCTAAAAACCCAGCTGATATCAAATAAAACCGTTCCACTTTAATCATTCCTCATCAATTGCTGAGATGCTGCGCTCCTCCTGAAAGGCTGACAAATCTCCAAACTCCTCCAGTAACTTTGCCAAGCAATGTTTAGGAAAACATGGAGGGGAAAAAAAAAAAAAGCAATTATCCGAAGTGGCACTTGCCCAACTTTGCTGTTGACAAGAAACAGATACGTAAAAAAAAACCCCTCTGGGGTAGCAAAATGTACTAAAACAAACTTTCATTGTGAAATGCAGTCGAGTTACCTGGTGGGGGTATTAAAAGCAACGCGTTTGACACCTTTGGTCTGTGAAGACATTTGCTGGCTGAAAAATATTTCTGAATTTACAGCCAAATTCCGTCACTGAGCGTGTGTAGATGGCGGCTGCTGGAGGAGACATTTATTTACCCTACGGCAAAACACGACCCTTCTGGAGCGTTAATTTTTGGCACGGTTCCTTCAACACAATACGGAGCATGAGTGATCATGAAAGCGATGCCGTTTGAAACATCTTTGAATCAAAATGTAGAGGAAAAACTCTCTTTTTCGATGAGCTGCTGCCCCGAGTCTGTCTGCCCCATATGCTCTGGTCAGAGGGGTGCCCAGTGTTTTGTGGGGACCCAAAGCCTCGTAGCTATGGGGTGATCTGGACACCAACCTGGTATGTTGGTGGGCTTGAAGGAGAAGAGAGAACGTGCACCTCACCCTAGGCACAGGGGCACTATTAACGCCCAGATAAACCTTTTCCACACCATATATCACAGAGGTGACACGGCAACCTCTTCAACGGCCTCCAAAATTGGGGGTATCTCAATGTCATCCAGGATTTTGCAAGCCGACCCTAATGACAGTGACCAACGCACGCAGCCTTTCAACTTGACGGCAGGAGATGAGGCTCTCCAAATGTCAATACCTGCAGAAAATGCGTGTCCTGCGACCTCCAGAAATGATCCAGGCAAGGTTGGAGCTGATGCAGTCCTAAGGGACACCACCAGCAAGCTGGCACTGCTGCTGTCTACGCGTTACCGGCCGCAGAGAGGAATGACTAAGCTCCAGGGCTGTCACTGACAGCGTTCTGCTCAGATCAGCACCCTAAAAGCAGCTCTTGGAAGCTTCTCCAGTAGGGCATAGCAGTTGCTTCATTAAATGAGGATTTAAGTCAGTTTTGAGCACTTGGGATAAGATACTTTTGCAGGCCACGCACAGCAATGCGTAAGAATTCTGAATCCCCTAATACATAGCCAAGAAAGTTGAATCCAATTCACAAAAAGCTCCCCTTCCAACAATATTCCTCCTCGTCCTTGATTTTAAAATCATTTAAAAGCCAATCTTTGAAATATAAAATCTCATTTATTTCCTGAGGAGATCTGAAATCCAAGTACTTTTTTCTTTTTTTTCTTGAAGACCCAGTGCATTTAAATATTAATCCAAACTAAAAACCTTTTATTTCACCTTTCAGATGTGGAACATTTCAGCCAGTAATCACACTTTTGAATTCCACATTTCTAATGCATTTTATGCAAAATTAAACATACCATGTTTCCTATGCAGTTAAATTATTTCATTCCTAGTTCCAGGCAGAAAGATTAAAAGGGTAATTCGTAATCGTTTTCCAGTTAGTTTATAAGGAAGTTTCAGTGGTTGTCTTGCAGGACTTTGAAAGACAGTTTTCCACACTCATTCTCATTAAAAAGTATTTTTAAGAGGATGATAAGGAGAACTGAACTCATAAAGAAACCCAAACACTAACAACTCAGTCCCAAGAATTAGACACATATTAGCTCAGCTGGCCACAGAGGATCTGTGAGCTCTGCTGATTAGAGCATCTAAATGGCTCGTCATATGAAACTCTAAAAAAAGACCTTTCTAGATTTTAAAAAAGGTCCTACGAGGCCAAATTTTTTACACTCGATTAAGGAACATAAGTTATTTCAGTTTTACTAGGCGCCACGGACATCCATGGAACTGGTGGTATATTTTAAAGCGCTGCCAGAGAGAGGCTTTTGTGTATTCAGATAGCTTTTCATTACCTGCATTTCATTATTTTTCAGATTAATTACTACGTCTGCACCAGGAGGTGAAAGAGAACAAGCTGCAAGCTGCCCTATCCTCGCTGTCATGTGTCTGCCTTTCCAGGTCACAAACAAAGATGAATTATATTAGCACATGGAAAGTCAAACAAGAGCTTTTTTCTTCGGAGAGGTGGCAATGACTCAGGATCTCTCTTTTAAGCCATATGCCAACAAAAAGCCATTGGACCATCCAAGCAGGTAGTTAAATATGAAGGTGACCAAAGCCCACTTGCCAAATGCACACTGGTCAGGAGAATTTGCCTTTGCTACGGCAATGTCAAAAAACAGAAACTGAGATTTTAATATGTACATTCTTAATAGCAGCACCCAGTCATGCCCTAAAATGTAATTACACAGGCAGTTCCCAGAGATCAACAGGGTCAGAAGGTAAAGAACAGTAATTCTGCTTGGTGCACACTATGAAAGCCTCAGCACGCTAATAAAAAAGACAGGCTTCAAGAGCATGTACATAATATAATTAAGCACAGATAGATGAAACTCTGATTCTCCCTTCACCTGCATATTTTAAGCAAGTATTTTCAACTTCTCCCCATCAGCTCTAGAGGTTGGCGAGGCTTTAAATCTTGCTCACTGCAATGCTAAGCCCTTTAAAGAACAGATTAGGAAAATAAAAAGCTATTCCTGCAATCAAAAAAGGTTTAAATGGTTGGCATTTTTATTTACAGAGTGCTGGCAATTAATTTAAAGGCAGCAGATTACTGAGAAAATAGGCATTTTCTAACTTAAAAAGTATATAAACAGCTTCATCAGAAACCAATCTTTTAGGTACATAAACAGCTTCATCGGAAGCCATTCTGCTAGTTACATAAAGAATCCTATTATGCCAAATTAATTCAATCTAACTAATTAGAGAGCAGGAAGTTCTTTCAATTATTTTATGTGCTGTCTGAGAAACACACTTGAATACGAGAGCAGATTTCATTAATTGCGGTTCATTATTCTCCAGATTAGTTCCTCAAGCTGCATCAGAAGGTCAAAGACAGCAAATTTGGGAGCTGCCACCACCTTGACTGGAATGTGGCTGCATTTTGGGAACTCCGGGAACGACTGGCTACAAACAAACCCAACAGGGAAGGACCAGCCAGGTAGGACAGTTTTTGTACGTGCTCGTCTACTCCAAGACCTAAGCAATGACATGTGATGGAAACAGGTTGCTAAAATGAGTATTTTTGGAACAAGAGATGAGAACTCGGCCTTCTGCTTACTCAGAGAGAAGAAGGAACACGCATTTATCCACTCTGCTTGGTCACGGTCAACTTAACCTTTTCTGCAAGTTTTGAAGGGAAGTTAAGTACTGCTCCCTTGGAAATGATACTCCAAAGCACTAAAATCCCTGGCAGCTCAGGACCAAGACGTTGCTAACAAGAAAACGCAGCACAACAAAACTAATGCATTTGGCACAGTCGTAGGGCTAAAACTGCTCATCTAAAACTTCTAATTTTACCACAGTATACTAGCAACCTGCTAGCATTTTTGCTAGGAATTTGCCAGCATTTTTCCAGAGCAGATTTTAATAACTTTAGGTAATTATTCTCATATAAAGCAACAGATGTAAGTTGAAAACTGAGCTCAGCAATGGCTTACAAAATTCTCTTTACCTCGAGGAGGTTGGATGAGCCAGGAGCAAGTGATAACGTGGCCAACTTCTTACCTTTTTCTGTCCAAACGACTGTTATTACCTACCTACTCATTTGCTTTTAGCCAGGTGAAGATCATTTAGATCCTTCCATTTCCTTTGGAATTCCTGTTCCTCTTCTGCACTCCTACCAATTTGTTGCTTACTTCCCAAGAAATAAGGCAGCATTTACATTGCAGAGGGTTAACAGGCTGCCATCCTCCAGCTTTGTTCACTGTGGAAGCCCAGCAATTCCCTGGTAAGCAGTTAGATTACATTGCAGCTGAACTCACCCTTCTGGCTTCCCTTCTCTGTGTTTTCTGGTATTTTATCACCTCCTCTCACCCTGCACATGCCGGTTATGTCCCCTGGCACTGTATATAAGAGTTTAATTTCTCTCACAGCACTGAGATGCATCGGTCTGTATTTGTCAAGATCCCAGCTGCATATTTTGGTAATACAGTCAAGCTATTCCTTTTCAAAACTAAAAGCACCAAAACTTGTAATAATTTTAAGATTTCGTTTCATTATAGCTATCCAGGGGTCATGAAAACCCTTGGGTAGCTCTCCAATGCAACTGAGAATTAGCATTGTACAATTATTGTACATATATATATATTTACACACTAGTTTAAAAAACAAAGCAGAAAGAGCATTCCCTCCTACCAAGGACTGTTAAGACTCCTATTAAGGTGATGACCCAATTGTTTCAGCTGCCATAGTAATCCATAATGCCAGTCAAAATTCCTTAAAATTCCTTTGCAGTTTCAAACCTGCCTTGAAGACAGATCCCACACGGCTCATCTTGAGCAGGAGGAAGGAGTGGGAACAGGTGGTTAGACTAGAGGCAGGAAATTGGGCCTCGTTTCTAATCTCAGCGCTCTGATTCAGCGAGAATTCAAGAAGTTGTGAAAGGCTCTCACTGCAATTGTAAAGAGCACCGATTTGCATCTTCTGAACCCAAATACCTTCAAGAAAACCACTGCCTTCATTTTCATTATCTCAGTTTTACGCATGAGTAAAGTAACACCACTCCAGTCTCAGCACTAAGGCTGTTCTACGTGGAAGGTAACATGAAAAAGTAAAGCACAAAATTAGGTAGGATTTGGGAGTAAAACACGTTCATTTTACTACTGTGTGAAGAACAAAACCACACTCAACTTAAAACTATTTTAAACCCATCATTTTTATTTTTGCTAGCTCTAAGTTACTGAAAAATATTTAAGTTTTAATGTCTTTATGGCTTTTTTTATTATTATTTTTAAAATATCACCGTGCTTCTACCATAACAAGATGACAATTAGTAAACCACAGAGGTTCCTGCAACAGCAGGTTTAGTTGTGGTAAACCAGTGCACAGAATGAAGAAGATCCAAGCACAAAAACCAGATGTTTGGGATGTCAGATTTTTCTAGAAGGATAATATCCTTTAAAATATTTCATGTGAAGAGTTGAGAAAGGTCTATGGCAACACATGAGCTGCTCTCTGTGCTCCAGACTGGTGAACAGGAATGGAGCAGAGTTAACTGGATGCTCAAAAAAAACAGGGAGCAAATGGACTTAGACAAACTTGCTCAAGTGAGATCTGGCTCCAGATGTATCCTCCAGACAATGGAGTGCTATTCCTTTATAAATAAACTACAGCCCTTCATATAAAGAAGGGGATTTGAATCGGAATGGGATTCTGTGTTTCAGCTGTTTGCTCCTGGTGAAAGAGTAGTGTTGTCCAGTCTGCCTGACCCTGCACTTGCTGCCATTCAGAGCAGAGAAGCCACGTTTGGACCAGCTGTTTTGCATCACAGCATCCAAAAAACTTCCCTGCTTCTCTGGCACATGGTCTGGATAGGAGAGGAAACAAACCCAACCACCCAGGGCAAAAGGCAGAAAAAGGTGACACGAGCGGAAGGGGGATGGTAAATGAAATCAAGAATTAAAAATAGAATTACATTTTCCACTTGGCAATACACAAACAATGCTAAGTGCACTTCATAAATTCTACTATTGTTGCTGCAAGGGGTTTTACCATAAATCACACTGGTAGCACACTTGATACACTCAGCCCACTTGGCTTTTTAGAAGTGCCAATAAGTTTAAACAGCTCCACTATCTCTGGACAAAACGGAGGGGAAATGCATCACAGGGCTTCACTATGGCTAAAAGCTCCGTTTGTGCTGCAGCAACATATAAAATAACACTTTGCCAGCGGGTCTAACAGCACTCACCAATATTCCAGGGGATATTATTGGATTTAATTCCTTACCTGCTGTGCAAGAGGAGAGGTCTGCCTGCCCTTCTTCTCATCTCGGACAGGAAAGAGAGACTTCAGGAGCTTTGGCATCTGAGGCACAAAGGATTTGACAGGATTCAGGTAGGAAGCAGCAAGGCTACCAAGTCCAGCTGGAAAAGATTAAAAAACAGATTGGTTATGCTTTGGGGGCAGGGAGAAAAAAGATCAAGAAAACTATTAAAACTATCATTATTTTAATCAAACTTGAAGGAGGACCAGTGATCAAAGCATTGCCAAGGCAAAACAGTTATTGCTTTCTCCTTCCTTGAAAGGGATATGTAAGTTTGGATAAGTTCTAACCTGTAGCTGCAGTATATTTCTGTGCAAAACACAGAAAACCTTTTTGCCACGTGGTGTTACAAAGCCTGTTTTGTTTTTGCAATTGGAAGTGTAAAATGCTTTACAATTTGCAGAAGCAGATAATGCTCTAGAAAGAAAATTGAAAAAGGATGGCCACACAACAGTTTTAATGGCAATTATAAAACCTCCTAAAAGTGGAAGATGAAAAGATGCATGTTAAAACAAACACACACATGCACATATACTGCTTTTCTAATCTGCTTTCTCCTGAGAAAATACCACCATCTCCTACTGCACTTTTCATTATACATTAGGTGCAATCAACTGCAAAATATTCATCCAATTCCAGTGCTGGTTACCTTCTAAAACATGGGAAGTCTTGTTGTTTTCCCTGCTTTACTCGGGTAACAGATGACACATTATGAGTCCAGCTAACTTTTGGTTAGAAATTAAGCTTCTGAGGGAAAAACTGCCTTTTCAGTGATTAAAGAAAACTCTAAGCTCTTGGCATGTACCACTTTGCAGAACTAGCATCCCATTTAAGGTGCAGGCTGGCTGCAGTCAGGAATGTTGTATATTCACACAGTTAAGAGTGCAGTGAGGAAACCCCATGGAAGTTGCTTTGGAGAAGAAGTTGCTTCATCTGCCATGCAGGAGCTGGGATGATTTCCCTGCATTTTCCCTGGAGTTGACTGGAGCTGATTTTCCCTGGAGGTGACTGACTGGAAAGCCCTTACCTGGATCAGGAGAGTGGTTCTGTTGCACAGAACCTGGCAGAGAGCTCCGAGATGGGCTAATTCCTCTGTTGGAATTGGCGGCACCTTGGGATATATCCTGCTGGCTCTCCCATCGACCCTGGAGGGGAGAAAGAAAAGGCTGCATTTTCCAAGTTAGCACATTAGCAGGAGTACTGCCCTATTTATGCAACCTGCCACCTCGCACGGCCACTTTGCCAAGTTCCCAATGAGCAGAGCTGAGGAAAGACCCTTCCCCTGAGACCCTGTGAGTTGAAAGACCCAATCCTGCCAAGATCCAAGATCCTCAGCTCCCAGAAGCATTAAGGCACAGAGAAAGCCTCTATTTAGAGGTCTAAAATATTTCACTCATTGCATAGCTGTATTCTGGAAGTTGAGTACCTTATAACCAGGTGAAAATAAATGAGTACTGTCTGCCCCAAAGTCCTAAATATTTTGGTTATCCGATCAGGAAGCAGTCATTGGTGAAGCCTGGATGTAGAGATTGTAGGAGAAAAGGGGCAAGGACAAGCAGAGCTCTGGACAAGAACGGAAGGGTCATCTTAGACCTACAAGCTGGATGTTTGTGCCTTGCATCAGGTAATGGACAAGCTGATCAGATGAAGAGGGAGCAGCCTTGGTGGCTCCATGGCTTAACAGATTGGAAAAAAAAGAGTTGGAATACATCTCTTAGATGTTCTAGAGTTGTGACATGGTTAATGAAGATGAAATGTATGATTTTCTCATCTTGGGGAGTGCAAGAAACACACTTCCACCCCAAACTGTGCTGCTAGGAGTTCTAATGTGGATCAGGACCACGTATTGTCTAACCAAACCCATCTCCAAATTCGGTGTGCAGAGCTGAAAAACAGCGACCAAAATTCACGTGTTCTGCAAACTTCTGATATAGGAGCTCTCTCAGAGGCTCTCAAAGCAGTTGCTTAAGCAGAGTATGCTCTAATAAAGCTACGTGGAGCTAATTTACTTAATTTATGGGAGATCTTAATGCAATCCTATATCCGCTTAAGAGAATCTATGCGTCAAAACAGCCTGGCCTCAAATGCCACAAATAGTCTTGATGTCTGGTGGAAAAGCTCTGGCCTGGCCAGGTAACCCGGGTGCCCTCAAGCCTGGAAGTCTGGAAAGTTTCACAGCTCTGGAAGCAGAGGTGGTGAAGACACGATGGTGATAAGGCAGATAAACTATGCTGAAATGCAGTTTATCTATCCAATTTCTATATATATCTGCATTTGCCTGCATTATTTCTATCTGCATCTGAATCTTGCCTGTACTTTTAAAAGAAGTAACAAACAGAAATACTTTGATAATAAGATGGTACAACGAACATACAGCATAAGGAGTCCAAAAGTGGGCAAATCTGCTAGGTGCCAGACACCAAATTGTATGTATTGCTCTTGAGGAGGGGGTACCTTTTTCAGGAAGCTTCACACTATTGGATGCAAGGCAATAATTTGACCTTGAACAGGAAAGTGACAGGCAGCTAAGCTAATCTTAACTGTAATTCGAAGTCCTGAATGTTTCACAGGTAATAAATAAGCCAGGATAGGAGAAATGGATTTCTCAAATGGGTTGAAGGTCACACGGAGCAGCCCAGAGCAAAAATCGTTTCCATTTGGATCTATAAGTTAGCCCCATCGAAGCAACCCTGCTTTGAATAACAAGTAAATGGCATTTTTGCTGAGCAGCACCTGTCTTCAGACCAGATAACAACTGCATTATTTGACATAGAGACAACAAGCTCTGTTTCTGTGGAGAACCACCACGGTGGACATGGAAAGAGTTGACTGAAGGCAACTCAAAACTGGTGCAACCCAGGCTTGGAATAACTGTATCACCAAGACTTTGTTTAGTCTGGTATTTTTGATGCCTTTGGGCCTTAAGCCCTTCTTAAAAGCTTCCTCCTTTATCAGTGTGGATGAATGGTTCTCCTCATACCTTAAGCCCCATGCTTGGGTATTCCCTCTGACCTGCAACTCTATATCATCGAAGCATCCAAAGGCTTTGGGCTATGATCAAACCATCCTCCCCTTTCAGCAGGTCGCTGAAGTCTCCTCTGACCCCCACTGATGGATTCGTTTTCAGGAGGAAAATCAAAATGTGAGAAAAGAGATCGTTTCATATCCAGAGGAGGAAAATATCTCCATACAATTCTGTCTCCTTTGGGACAGCTCAGAGCTGCTGCAGTTTAAAGGAAACAGGAATATTTGGTGGGATGCAGTCACACACCCCAAAGAAGCTGAAAAACCATTTGATTTTGTTGGCTGGTATCATCACTTTGGGAGAAGATGACATGAGATTAAGCAAAAGAACAGAAAAAAGCATACAAAGACTTTCCTCTGGCTTTGTCAGCCCAAGTTCCTCAAGTCCTCACCATTCTAGTGAATGAGAAAGTGAGATTATTTCCACTGATCTACACAGTACCAATCTGGTGGAAAACCTCTGGCTTCTATTAAAACCTGCAGGTTAATCCTGACCTCTTACGTGGTTTTGGATACAAAGCTTTGAAGCAACAAACCACCAGACCTTCCAGAAAAGAAGCACAAGTATCACAGGCTGCATAGCTATTGCATCAAAGTGTTCCAAGAACAAACTGGGAATATTTTCATTGTGAACAGAAGTAAGAATTAACTGGTCCTCATTTAAGCAAACAAATAAAACTCAGAGGTGAAACCACATACAGTTCTGTTAACCTAGTAAGAGACAAACGTAGCACTGTGTTTTGAAGCTATTTTAGAAGGTATCTCCCTGTTTTCCTTCTTATTCCAGCTTGTTTTATAGTCTTTGTTTGCAGGGAATCGAGCCCTGGGAGTTCACAGTGCTGATAATTAAAGTAGAGTCTGTACTGATTGCTTTAACAGTATGACTGGTCCTTTATAAATACAGGAATGAGACTCAAGAACTATATCAAAGAACCAACTTTGAGCCTCGAGACCCACCAAACTAAAAATCCGTGGTAGATGCAGCAACAGCATAAGGAATAATGTGATTAAAGAGGGAAACGGAGTAATGGAATAAAAGTTAACGAGAGGAAGATTTTGAAAAAGTATCAAGGGCTTCTCCTACCACTAAAGTATACTGGCTTGGCAGGTAAGTTCTGCACCCAATTCAGGATGCAATTCCCACCCTGTGACTGATGTTTCATATGCTAAAATAAACCACCTGAATTTAGCTTATTATTGTCCCTTTTAAACAAAACCAAACTCTTGGTAAAACAATAATTCATAAACACTGCAGATGACTCTCTATTTTTACACATTCATCGAGTTCTTCTCCAAGCTGAGCTGAAGCTGTTCTTGGATTCCTTATGCTAAAACAGACAGGATTGATATCACTGCTTTGAGATGTCTGGGTGTTATAGACACATTTATGAGTTTTTGCAGCACTTCCTAGTGGTTACAAAATCTTCTATTTATCTCCAGGGCAGTTTGCACTCCCATCACCTTTAGTGCCCTAGAACAAGTGCTTGGAAATGAAGCAAGCAAGGAGGTAAGCAGCACATTTCAACACCAGCTCACAGCAGTACAGTCTGCTTGTCAGTGGTTAAACCAAAAAAAAAAGCAAAAAGCTGCAAAACCCCATGCAAACCACTACCAATTAATTGCAATTAACCAAAGCTTGGTACAACTAGAGGGACAATCATTCCCATGAGAGTGTTAACGTGATACAAAAGCTAAACCTCTTTTCAGCTGGCCCTGGTATTAATTTAAATTCACTCTTTTGCAGAAATCAAAAGTTAACTGATGAAAGCCTTAAAATCAGGGAAAAGATGGAAGAAACTCTGAGTGTCTATCTGATCCCTGTTTAGCTGATGGCTACATCACTGGCAAGTATTGCCCTTGGTTTTTGTGCCCATCTGCTTTTTTATCTGCGGTCATTTGTGAAACACTTCACCCTAATCATGTTTAGATGTCCACTGTAAAACATGGCATCAAAATAGCTACAGATCTGCAACAAGCTGCATGATGCACTAGGATGGAGAATGTTCTCTCATTTGTACCAGTTTCATACTGCTTTAATGGCAGTTTTTTCAGTGGCAAAACTCATTTGCCATGTCCTATGTAAATGAGCCACCAACCACAGCATCTTTAAAGCAGGAAGTAAAGGCATCTAAGTGAGCAAAATAAACTTTATAGTGAGATAAGGCAATTATCTCACTCATTAGGTGGACCTAATGCATTACCTCTGCTGGGACCTTTGGACTCTGAAAACATGCAATGAAGGAAATTATTGAGGGGAAGGAAAGAAAAAAAATCATTAAGAACTTGGATCTTGAAAATTTGAGATAAAAACTATAATATTGAAACATTCTGCAATTTTCTCCATATACAACTTGCTATAACCACTTTATCACCTGCACATATTTCAGCATTCTCCACATGGAGCAAATGTAGCATATTTAGCAACCAATGCTGGAGCACTACATCAAAATTCTATTATTCCAAGCAACTGCATTATGCATTAAAATGCCTTGTCACCATCAGATTCTCCCTTTTCAAATGACTACACGCATGCTGGGCAGAATATCTATCAGGAGAAGGCACTTCAGTTTATCTAGGCTTAAAAAAATAAGTTTAAATTTAATCTTTCTCTTTTTAAAGAAATACTTTTGATTTGCACTGTTATTTTTATAGAGCATAACGGGGTTTCTGAAGCTCAGGACTGCTGGTTTCCCTCGTGAAGGTCAGAGACTCCTGTACTGGTCTATCATGAAGGTGGATCTGGACTTACTTGCAAGGCCAAATTAGCTCCTTACCTGAAAGATTTGCACCCAAGCAGGTAAAACTTTTGGAAGAAGCCTGACAATGAGAACATTTTCCCTGCCAAATGCACTTCTGTGTAACGGGTGGCTCCATAAAACCTGGTGTGCTCAGCTCAAATCTGCCACTCACAGCGGATAGCAGCAGTGCTCATGATCAGGAGGTGGCCCAGGAGCCTTCCCAGAGAGATCTAGCGTTGCATCTCCAAAGCTGCCACGTCGCAGGAATGGCCCCGAGGACATAAAGATGGGTCATACCCCATCTTTTACAGCTACTTCTTGTCATGTGTCCCCATGACTGGCAGAATGCACCTAATTCCTGCATTTCTTCTACAGGATATTTCTCAGGAAGGTTTCAGATACTCACCCGGTTACTGAGCAAGTTGTAGGGGGGAGCTAAATCTTGGCGGCTTCCGGAAAGCTGAAATGGTTAAGGCAAACAGAATTATTCCTTATCATAACACAAAGAGCTGATAAATATAAATACCTTTTGACAAAAACAAAGAGGAGCAAAAAGAAACCATCTAGCAGTTAAAGCAGAACTGAAAGCCAAGAGTCATACCGTGAAGTTCTGGCTACTAACTACAAAGGAGATCGAATTTAGCAAAAAAAAAAAAAAAATTCATTACTAGTTCCACCAAAATGTTTGAATTTGGACTTTGGACAATCAAGTGTCTCATTTTTCCTATGCTCTGACCAGGAAAAGATAATGTCCCTACAAGGCTGCTGCAAAGCTTAATTCATTAACTACTTGTAATTTGCTTTCAAATCTTCTGGGGAAGATGAAAAATCTTCAACTTGGAATCTAGGTAGAAAGCCTTCAGTGTTCAGGGGAAAATGCAGGAGTTCTTTTACACTGCTTTTTCACATAGCATGGATTGTGTAGATGCTTTAAATACTTGGCCCGTATGATGAAATTATTCATATTTGCAGATTTTGCCTCTGCTTAGCAATTTACACGCTCATAAACAGCACAGGCGAACAGAGGGATTAAGCAAAAGGTAACTCAGTGCTGTACTCTGTGGCTCAGGCTTTCCAGGGACCTGCTCCTGAAAGGCTGGACTTGCTGTGCTCGTTTTGCACTGAACACTCACCCGGTTCACATTGGGAGAGCTCAGGCTCCTCCTGCAGAGTTTTCCTTTTCCCATTAGCTGCTCCTTTACAGCAACTTCCTGCCAACCACACATGAAAAAAAAGAAACAAAAAAATCTCAACTCCAAATATCCCCGGGTAGTTTAGGCTACATGTGAAAAATGCTTCTCTTTATTGCACACCCTTCAAAAACTGCACACAACATAGTTAGAGCTACAAGTCTAAGAGTGGACAAATTTTAACATCTAGTATTTCACTGATTGACATGGGTAGGATTTTACAGCTGGTTTTCAATTCATGACATGACTGCTACAGATGCAAAGACTTAGGCTGCTTTTCCTAGCTGAGCTCCTATTTTAATCCTTTAAACTAATTACACATGACAGGGAACTTGCTTTCAATAGTTAGAGTGCACTGCACTTCACCATTAATTTATAGTGGGCAGGCAAATACTCTGGCTTGTTTTGCATAACTTTCTTTTGTGCTTGCATAATTCATATCCACAATATATTCAATAAACGTTTCCCTCTCCTGTGTTTTTCCTGGTAAACAGATCAAGTTACAGCTCTTAAGATTACCCCAATCACTGTCTTTGTTGACAGCTTTGGTTTGTCCATGGTAGAACACATAAAAATGACAAGAGCTGTAACCAAGACTCAGAAACAAAAACTCCAACCATAATTAGCAAGGCACAGTTTTGAAAAACAACAAAAAAGGACTAAGGACCCCACAACAGGGCATTTAATGTAAAGCTTTGAGTCCTGTCTGTGTTGCAGGCAGCTGAATGAGAACATCTCTGTACAGAGAGCCAGCCCTGCACGTTTGCTCCTCTGGCCTTTTGCCACCAGCACACTTTGAGCTGAGCTACGCAGTGAAGCGGCGTTTTGTTTTTCTGCTTTTAAGCCACTGTGGGCAGTTAGGAAAACATTTCCACTGCAGTGATCCCAGCGGGGGGATTCTCTGCCGCTCCGCCGCGGCCTCGGAAGCGGACCTGGCGCAGCCGATCCAGGGTGAGGATGTTCTCCACGGCCAGGACGCTCCGCAGGTACTTCTCAATATAGGCTTCCGAGTCGGCCGAGGCGGCGTCTTCCACGTTGGCTGCCATCCGGGCTAGTGCTTCCCGCTCCTCAGCTCCTTGGGCATCCTGGGGAAAGACAGGAAATGCCAGCCTTGTTTCAAGGAAAATCGCACACACGAGGTGCTTTTAAAACACACATATCGTTTTCCCTTTCACACATCTTGGAGATTTCTTCTTCTCGGAGACGTCTTCAGACGTTGGAGATTTCCAACTATAAGTCTAACAGCACTGAAAGAGCTCGTGCAGTGCACGCTGCACTACCACTATTGAAGTTTTCACTTCATGTTACCTCAATTTTCAAGTTAGGCACTTCATCTTCCCATTATTCTTCCCCTTTTTATCTCCCCTCCCATGGACCTAATAAAAGGTTCTTCAAAATGTTTCTTGGAGGACCTAAGCACACAAATCCTCACTTAACAGAACATGCAGACACTGTGGAGGCAGCATGTAAATAAATTTGCTTAATCTTTCATAAAACCCATAGTTTGTGCTTGAAGCAGCGAGAGATAACATGCTCAAAACAAGCAAAACAAAAGACTCAGCCAACTGCAGAGATTTTGAATTCCTATTCACCTCTGGAATATTTGAGACTATCTCAAAGGTGACACCACAGCCAGGAATTGAGCTTCGGTGGGACATTCTCCTGAGGAAACTCTGTGCAAAGCCCTGCAGAAAAGAAAAAAAAAGAAAAAAAAGAAAAATATTTCTTATTTTAACATGTTTATACAGGAAGAAGCTCAAACCCAAAAACTAGTCAAACATTTTGTAGGGTCAAAGATCTTAGCTCGGAGGGAAATCACTTCTGTCTGTATTTCACATGCAGAAAAAGGATTAACTTCCATCACTGCAAGGTGCCTGCTTAACCAGCACACACAGCACTTGCTAGTTCTAGATTTTTTTTTTTTTTGTAGTGCCCTAGGTGACTTGTCTTGAATATTGACAAGCAGAGGCATTAAATTCTTGACCAGAGAGATCGTTATGAAGAATGATTTAAGGGGGCACAGACATTGTTTATGCTGACTTGGCGCCTTGCAGGGTTAAGAACCGGCCTGTTGAATTAATGCAGAGATGAGTCATTCAAAGATGCTGCTGAGACAAACACCCAGGAAAGGTTATCGATGAGGATTTTCAGAAACCTGGCAAGAAAGCTGAAGATTATGGTGTTGGAAAACAGTTAGAAAGCATCATTGACCACATCTGTAGAAAAGAGAATTGATGAAGTCTTAATACAATTATAATTATCGACAGGCTCAATTTGTGTGTTGAATAGGCTCTTCTCATTCTACATGATAAAAAAATGCAGTGTTCCCTTTCTCAGAAAAAAAGCTTTTGCTTAACCAGGGCAGCAAAAGCTGCAATGCCTTTTTTTTCTCTAATATTAAAGCAGTTTAGAGTTGCCAATAGGGTTTCTCTCCGGCACTTGCTCCAGATTTTAACTACAGGCAGGCAAACAGAACAGCAGAGCAGGGTTCCTGCTTTGTCATCATCACTGCTATGGGAAGCTGGATGCTGACGCAATGCTGAACAGTCTCTGTCTTCCCATCATCTTCCTCAAGAATAAAATACGTTTCAGGATCTGTTGTTGCAAGTGGAATCACAATTACTTTCCATTTGTCAAACGTCCTGCTGCTGCCTACAGTGTATCAGAAGGGAATAAGCCAACTGGAAAATAAAAAGGACCAAGAGTGACTCATTTTGAGAAATTACACAAGAAACCCTTTCTCCAACCATTGCTAGTTATTCCTTATATAATGTAAATGGTTATACCTGGATACATACATAAATATATACAGGAAGGTGGGACCATGCTGTAGGGATAGGGAAATACATAGGTTTCTTCTGATGCACAATTTTTGCAAAATATGAGCTCCAGCCTCATGAAGCACTAACTCTTCCTGCTTTTCAGCACTTGGGAATAAAGCAATTACTGAGTGGTTAACACAAATAATACTGAAAAAGCAAAGATTATCTATTATTTCGTGTTACACAGGAGCCTTTAAAAAAAGGCCGTATCATCATGCACAATATGAAGATCCTGTGAAGATCACTTGTCCTCTTGGAGTCTCCCTGCAAGGAGTTAATATATTTCTCTTGTTTGGGAGAAGAGGAAGGTAGTTGCAAGGAAACTGAGCCCCAGCAGCAGCACATTGCACGCAGCAGTTTCACAAATCACAGCTTGCCCTGATAAACAGGGGGCAGAGTGAAAAGGTGAGGGTTTTTTTTATTAAATAAATACATTTTATAAAATAGATACCTGTCTGCCGTACACGTTAACGCAGATGCGTTTGCGGAGCACTAGCTGCATCTCTGCAGGGTGGCTGAGCTGGACGGTGGCTCTCACGATCAGGTAAACCCTCTCATCTGCTGCTGTGCCTCTGCTGAGCTGGATACAGTCGTGGACTGTGGAGTCCCAGGAGGCTTCTGCTTTCACCTGCAAAGGAAAAAAATGTATCCTCTAATAAGCATAATTAGAAGTATAATTAACTGTAATTAATTAAGTGTAATTATCAAAAATACATAATACATAAATTCTGAGAACTGGCTTCTCCAGTTCACTCCCTCTGAAGAAAAATGCCTGCGTTTTAGAAGAGGCTATTTAGAAAAATCAACATTAGTTTGCCAAATGAAGATGTTGGGATTAAAAATGCCAACTTGCTCAAACTCTGGAACATTTCCCCTTGAAGAAAGATCTTCGAATCCTCAGTATCATATAAATAAATGTTAAAATATGCAGAACTATAAGATCACTTGCCCTAATTTATTAAGATTAACCAGAAAGCAACAGAGATTGCAATGAAGTTCCTCCATTCTACTACCTGAAAACTATCCATTTGGTATTTCAGCAAATAAAGAACTTTGCTGAAGCAATTGCAGCAATATAACTAAAGCTGGAATTTTCTTGAAGGTTAAAATATAAATATTGCGGAAAGTTTACACGGTTTATCTTCAAGTCAGAAGAAACACATCCTGATAGCAATCTTTCCAGGCTTTAAAACAAAACCACAAAACCAACAACCAAAAACCCCCAAAGATCATCAGGATTAAAGCTCCTCTAAGACCACGAAATAGTCACAGTTCAGACTGTTTGGCTTCCCAGCTGTGGACTTTAATATTCCAATTTGCCTGTTTTCTTTTTGTTGTTGTTGTTTGTATTAAGCTTAAATAAAACCAACCTCAGAATCGCAAACATTTGTGATGCCCAGATTTAGGTGAAGGACAACTCTTGAATTTTCTTTTTTTTTCTTTTTTTTGGCTCAATTCCTAGCATATATTCCTTGAAAACAGAAATCAGCCTTTCAAGAGATGTGTTATATACTGCATCGGCCATTTTTGATATTTTCACTTCTCATGAGAGCAACTAAAATACTCTTGAGCTGAATATTCCCGTCTGCCTCTCTGCTTACCTCACTATCATGATGCTTCACAATCTGCAGCTCAAAAAATTCCTCCTCTTCTTCTGCAACGAGAGTAGCATCCCAGCCACCTGCTTCTGGGTCGTCGAGGTTATCTTGGGAGCTGAAGTCATCAGCTAGAAACAAATGAGGATGGAGAAGGTTAGGAGAAACAAAGCAATTCCCTCTAAGGAACATCGCAGAAGTTGTGAATTCACATTTTCATCACCAACTGCCAGCTTGGATCCCTGCATTCTAACCACATAAGAAAACCTCCTGCTTTAATTATAAAGTGCTATACAGAAAGCGTGCACACATGTTTGGCCACACACAGACTGAATTGCACCTTATCAAGTCCTCTATTCTGAGGAACTTCTAACTGGGTCTGAAGCAGGTAGCAAGTTAATTGCAAGCAAATGCATAAGATATTGAAGAGGGAGGTAAAAGGCTATGGGGAGAGAAGAATTTCCCCCAGTTGTAAACATCCCCTCCTTGCCCACATGTATATTAGCAGTACTACTGCTCAGTCATACCAAGTGCACTGCTTTTTTGGTATTAGTTTCTCTCTTTTCCTTTTTTCCCCTTATTTTTTTTTAAACAATCTGGTTGAGCAGGTAAAAACACAGTACTTTTAGACTGTGATCAAACAAATCCTTAATCTGGTCTTTGAGAAGAAACTCAACCTGTCCTGGCTTGAGTCTCCCACAGTTAATAAATTATTACCTAGCGCCTCTCTGAAGCCATTCCACGTATCCCAAAAAGCTCATTGATCCCTAAGCCACAAATGTCACTGCAGCAAACGTGCCATTGCAACAGGCAAAATGCCACCTTCACACCTGATGCTTCCAATCCAAGTGTTAGCCCCTTTGAAGGCTGACTAGCCACTGCTGACCCCCGGATTTACCTCTGGGTTGACAAGTTCTTGGCTATAACTTCTCATTTTTGGTCAAAAAAAGTCTGCTAATACATTGCTCAGGCTGTGCCTTGTATTTGGATGTACCAAGGAAACGCTGCTGAAGGAAAGCCAGAAGGCCACGCTGCAAAACTAAGCTTTTCATGTCCCACTTTTATGATATGCAGACACTGCTACCAGTGACTCCACATCTTCTTCTAAGCCACTGACAAAGATATTTTATAGCCTCAGTGCTATACCCTTGTGAGACCCCGAAAGAAGCACTCCCAACAATTATTTTTTATTTACACTGGCTTTTGCTGCTCAAATCCTCAGGTTTGCTCCTTCTACTATTTCTCTTTTACTTCTTAAATATCAGCACAATATAGGATTACGAAAGTGAATAGTTAATTCCATATATAATGCTGTGCATTTTGAAACACTAAATAATTGGACTCAATGAAGTAAGTACATTTTCAAATGAATCTGCCTGTCATTCCTGGCATTTCCTTGCCTTAACAGCTCACTCAAATAATAGGATGTTATTGGTTATACAAAGTTGGTTTCAAAGCACTCTGCCCTTTTAGAAAAACACTTACCATTCAAGTCAAGGAAAATAACAGGAATGTGAGTTTCCATACCAGGCACCGGAGTCCTGAAATGTAAAATGGGGACAATAGTGGCATTTAAACTAACACATGTTTACCCAGCACACGTACCTTATGATACAAGCCCACACTATATTACATTCACTACAGCTTCAATGGTAGGTCAGGCCAATGATAACCTTGGCAAACAGCTTTATTTTAATTTACTGTTGCAGATTCAGGGAGAGTCAACTAATTTGATACTTCTTATATATCAGTTCTCTTACAATTATTGTTTTCTCTGACCTCTGCTTTCAGAAATGTTTTTTTCGTCTAAAATGCTAATAGCAAAATTAAGTTTATTTACTCTGACATGCACATTTATTAAACACAAAAGCTCTGCATTAGTGATGTCAGCGAAGACAGAATTTAGAAACAGAAAATCCAGCCCTGAAGTTTTTAAACCAACACTACACGGTTGTTACTATATCTTGTTAAACACACACACTTAACACTCAAAACAGTCATATAAGGTATATCTTTCCTAATGTGGATGAAATAGTAAGATGGGTGTTTGTTTTTAGAAAAATATTTAATTTTTATATTTAATATATAAGATGCTTGAATCAGTTTGAAAACTTCCTTTCCTGAAAATGTGGTCAAAATAGATTCTTCCCCTCAAGTGACTAGTGCTTTCCAACCCACTCAAGTACTTTAATGTGCAAGTTGACTTATGCATCACTAACCAAGTATTTGACATTTCTCTGTTTCAGCAGTACTAGTTTTAGCAAACCCCAGCTTGAAACTCCCTGACACTTGACTCCATCAAAAATGTTGCTAGAGGCTTGCTCAGAAAATAAAAAATTAGAAAGTTGAGAGCAACTAGAGACAAAAAGTTAGAAGCAAAACAGCCCTGCTTCCTTATCTGCAGTTGTTGCTCACAGCTGCTCCAGTATGGCAATCTCAGTTTAGCATAATTTACTATTTTTAATGGTTAGAAAATGACTATGGTGAGAAATGCAACACTTGCTGACTTAACAGACTTTGTGCTTAAACCAGGAGCACAACAAAATGCTCCTGTAGATGCAGTTTTATTATGACGGAGCAGCCTTTTAAGTGAATGAACTAGGTAATTAACATATTAGCTAATTTTTTTTAATGCTAAGCGCAGTGGTAATAAATATTGATTCCGTTTCTTTGGAAGGTCATAATTACACTCTGATCAATAAGAGTATCGTTTACTAAATCGCATTTCTGGATTTCAAATACACAACCTAATAAAATAATTTAAGCAAGAGCACTAATTTTAACAACTTTGCTCATCCAGCATATGGAGCGCAGAGTAGGGCAAGGAAAAAATGGCAGGAATTCAAGCCATGCATCATTTTTACGTTCATTCTGGTGTATGGCAATGTATGTTCATACCACTCTGCTGGAGCTCCAGGGATGCCACTGCCAGCAGAAGGGACCATGACAGCATTTCGTTCTTCAGTAAGGGTCAGCCTCATCTCTAAAAGCTGTGCCTCCCGATCCGCATCATCTTCTGTTTTATCTGGAGAGGCAGCACAACCGAGACCATTTCTTATTCCGTGGCTTTCTCGTGTGTTTAAGAAATATCATTGTAACAGAATAAACCCCCTCTGCTCGGGTACACACAGAATAGGCAGGGTGCAGTCCGTGGCTTTCTCGTGTGTTTAAGAAAGATCATTGTAACAGAATAAACCCCCTCTTGGGTACACACAGAACAGGCAGGGTGTACGAATGACTAACAGCTTTATCAGGGCCTCCACATCCAGTTTTTCTGCATGCAAATCACTAGCAAGTCCAAAGAATCATTCCCCCCTTAACTCACTGTCTAGAATTTTTTAATATAATAGGAGAAAAGAGTGTGTGCACATGTGTGTCCCAGCCTGGTACTATAGCCACCCTTAATAATCATTTGCTTACCAGGTTTCCCAACAAGTTTTTGCAATTGCTGATCGAGATATTCCTGGCGCTTCGTTAAGGCACACAGCCACTTCCGACGCAGCCTCTCCAAATCCCTATCCTGTAAAGAGGAAAATGTCGTGCTAAATATTGACCCAGGAAAGCCAATGTTTCCTGGCTGTGGCTTACCCATTTCTTCAACTCTTCTGCTCATCCTGCATCCAAGGAACAGATAATTAAGACAGAAACAAACCACTTAGCTCTTATCCATTAATTCCTTTTTTTCTTTTTACAGGACAATATACACAGAATTGCAGAACAGTTGAGGTTGGAAGGGACCACTGGAAATCCTCTTAGTCCAAGCCTCAAGAGACCTTGGTTCAACCTTAGAAGCTTGCTCAGGGATGCAAAACCCTATTCCAGTTTCTAACCACTCTCACAGTTAGGGGTTTTTTTCCCTTTTTTTTTTCCCTTACTTTTAATTGAATTTCCTATATTGATTTTTTTTTCTCATTGCCTCTCATCCCTTCATTGGATACTAAAAAGGGCCTGGCTTCAACTTTGTTACTCTCTCCCAGTTACAGACATTGAGAAGGCCCAGCAGATCTCATCAAGACTGAACAATTTTAGTTATTTCAGCTTTTCCTTATATGTCTGATGCTCCTATCCCATATTTTTTCACATCTTTCTTAATATAATTTTGGCTTGCCAACCCGAAACTGGCATTTTTGAGATGATATTTTGTACCATTCCATCCTAACTTCACTTTATAAATCTTCTTTGCCTCCAAATTAGTCTAAAACTCACTAAGTTCTGCAGTATTGGAAAATCCCATTGTCTCAGGTGTGGAGATGCTCAGAAATTATGAATGTGGCACGTCGGGTGCCACGAAGATGAGCTACCAGCTCTGGGATGTGTTCGGACAGGCTGCATTTACAGCAGTAGCAGTTCAGATTCGTTCCACAACAAGCTATAGCAAATACTTCGTCAAGAAAAATGGGTGAAGGCAAGACTATAAACTGTGTTTGTATCACCCCACCTGGAGACTCTGAGAAGGACCCTGGAATGTGTCAGAGAATGGTAAACCTAAATCTCTTGTTGCTCCCATCACCCAAATTGAGATCTACAACAATGATGATGATGATGGGCTTTTGTTCATGGTATTCACCAGCAGGTGAAAATGCATCACAGATATTGTGCCTCATCAGGTCTCTTGTCAGGCTCAAATAGCTGTGATATTACATATACTTCAGGAAAAAAAAAGTTCAGATTTCAGTAATTTTCTCACTGTTTTCTTCGGACTCGAGGAATGGTATCCTTGCTTGCCCAGAGGTTATTATGCTTTATACACCAGGTCTCATACACAGCACATTTATAAGATGAAATAGCACGAAGAATTTGATTGCATCTTCAACAGCACCAGGCTTATTCTTGCTCTTAATGTAGAAAATCTCAACCTACCCACAGCTTGAGAAGAGTAGGTTCCCCCAAAATGCAGAAAGGGAGAAGCAATTGGATTTTCCTCCAGAAATATACACTAAGGCATCGTGTTTTTAGCCCTCCTCTTGACTCACCACATGGCTTTGTGGCACAATTTACGTAGTCCTCAGGCTTTTATTCTCTTCTGAGAAAACACTCTCCATATATCCGATCAGCGGAGCACAGATAAAAACGCTAATCTTCCTCTAACACAGTTTTACCTAAAAATATCTGCATTTCTAGGAAGAGAAAACAGATTTTTTTTTTACCTGATAACTGTCCATGTCATCCTCTTCCTCCTAGGCCAAAACATACAAAGCCATGTCATTTTTTTGTGTGTGTGTGATAGCAAGGAAACACACTAAATGGAAAAGGTGCAAATATTTTAATGAACTTCAACAGAAGCCCAAGCTTAGCAATGCTAAGACCATAGAATCAAAACACAGCAACATTTATCCCTGCTACCAGGTTTTCCTTCTTGAACCGGTCTGGGAGGGTACCAAAGATTTATTCCTATCAGCTGGTCCAAACATGTAAATTAAAAAAAAAAATACAACTATTATAATGGAAAAAAAGCAATAAAAACACACAAAAACAGAAGTAACTTTATCAGAATTATTCTTAATTGGAAGAAAGTGAAATATTTAAATTGCTCTAGGAAAAAAACGGTAGTTACAATGGAACAACTTGGGACCTGTTGAGCCTGGACAGTAAAGAAACCTCATTCTGCTCAGGAATGCTACAGGAGGCCCTGAAAATCAAAGGTGACATAAAGAACCTGAGGTAAACTTGCCTTTGCAGTTAGAGAAGAAAATCTGTAAACATCTAAGCCAATTTTTAAGACAGAATAACACTGTCTGCCACAAAGCAGTCACAACGTGGACCTTTGACACTTGGATTTCTGTTGTTTTCTGATGGGAGGCACCACCTTTCACAGCCCTTTGCAATGGGAGTGAGTGTGGCTGTCATCCCTGCCCAATGCCTGCAAAAGCAGATGCCAGTCTGCATTGAGTTAGTACTTATCTTAATAACAACAAGTCCCTGGAGTCTGCGTCAGTAATGAAAGGCAAAATTTAGCAAAGTTAAAAATAAAAAGCCATACAGAAGCAGCATTTTTTTTTAGATTAAGCCTTCAGAAAATCTTTTGAGTTCTACAGATACTGTTTCACTTGAGACAAAGAAATGCAAACACGGAGACTTAAAATCCAGATGTTCAAGTCTGAGGGTTGCTGTAAGCAGAACTAATGAAGCACTGTTGTCAACAGCTCTTTCCCCCATGGGTTATCAGCATCAGAGACAGCTCACTAGTCTGTCTCTCTCTCAAGAAGAGCTTAAGTACAGTCTTTCTTCTTGAAAGAACTTAAAACTTTGTGGATTGCTCTACCAGATACAGTTAAAACTCGTCAAAAATGATCTGGGGAAGAAACAGCATGAGATCCAACAGACTGGATGTTCACCTGGGACTTGTTTCCCTAGAAAAGTGGCTAAAAGGAGCCCGTGTCTTATGTGCATATAACATATCTTACGTGCATACAACACACTCATGGCTTTCAAGTAAAGTTTATAAGAAATGAATCCATCGTCTCAGGATGAGAACCTTTGGAGAAACCTGCTCAGCTCTACCAGAGTCACAAACATAAGCAGAATGGGGAAATAAAAGGCATGGTCGGCCTAGGACACTGCTGGGAAACTGGATTTTCCATCTTTAAAGACATCTTTAGGATGGAAGAAAACCTCCCTTTTAGGAAGCTAAATCTTCATGATGGTGTTGCCTCCAACTTTACTTTTTCCCAAGTTTGGAAAAATCCATAGCTGAAAAGAAGCAGTCAGCCTCTTACCTGATAACTTTCATGTATTTTTTGTGGCTTAACATGCTTTATTTGAACACAGCCGATGCCGATGGACAATATGGATTCCTCCATTAGTGGCAAGGTCCCAGATTCCTGAACGGATCTCACTTCGACCTGAACTCGTCGAGACTGCCCCTGAACATGGGAACAATTTGAAGCATTTCAAAAAAAAAGAATCAAACCAACAGGTATAAAATCCTGAAAGTTTAATGGCAGAGAGACCTCTACTGGCAGCCATCTGCAAGTGACATATTTGGAGTGACAGATCTTGAAGATCAAACGGGCAAGTGCTGCAATCTCAGTCAGAATGACCAAGTGTTCAAGAGAAGCCACTTCTGTTGCAAGGATTTATGTCCACACCATGTTCAACATTCGGCAAGTCTCCCCCAAAAAGCTTACTTTTTATTGAGGATTTTCTTAACATATAGGATTTTTTTAAAAAATACTTGCTGAAAACAGGATTTCTTCCCCGTCTACAAGATTGCAAAAGAAATACGTGTTGAGTTACTACCTGTGCTCTGAACTCGTTGCTGATTGTGGTCTCCTTCATGCAAAATTCTCCCCCATTGATGCTATCAGCGCAGAAAAGTATCTGTCTTCTTTAGACAGTAGGAAAAAATCAAAGGTGTTGGGGAATTTAGAGGTTGAAGACCACGTTTCACACCTAAGCTTGATGATGCCAAGGACACCATCTCCCTATCACGCGAAATAGAAGCTTCCCAGCTTCCTGGAGTCTCTTTTCACAGCTCCTGAACCTGTCACCTTACCTGTCTGAGCTGAAAGATGCCTCCGGTGCTGACGTCCTTGGCAGGAGTCACCTCCACTGGGCAGTATTCCCCGTTCTCGTTCAGCTCTAGAATTTGAACCCAGAGCTCTAGTTTTCGGGTTACTTCGCTCCACCTGCAAAACATGTCAAGACCTGTCACACGTGGGTTTTTTGCCTTAAAACAGAACACAACAAACATCCTGCCAAACCATGCAGACTGGAGACCTGAAGGGACACTTCTCCAAATGTCACTTGTATCCAGATGGGGTTACTAGTTGTCCATCTTATAGTTTTACTGACAATTTAAGCCTTTTCTTGATTCAAGCACCAAACCCAATTCCAATCGAATCCAGTTTGGTTCTAACACTTCAGCTCTGCCTGCTGTGACTGTCACAAAAGCCCAGGGTTGTCAGTGACATCAGACCACATAGATGGCAGCAGAACTAAATGTGCTGTCAGCCTGAAAGCTCTTGAGATTCGAGGCACTTTTTGAACGTCATCGCACTACTCCTTCCCTCCAGTTCTTCCAAGAGTTTAAATAAGAAATGGACACTTTTGTAATATCTAGAAATTAAAAAGGATGATGATACTTATTACCCAGCGAGCAAATCTAACTCTTTATTTTGTAACACTCTTCAATCTTCTCTTTTGCCATATTCTTCTGTTTTTACTTAATTTTTTAAACTTCCTTACATATGGCTTCATTCCTGTTCAACATACATATAGGCTGGCACTAAAATGACCAAAAAACAGCGGTAAATGAAAGTGAAGAACTGTCTTCTAATAGGAGAAGCAAAAAAAAAAAAAAGAGTAGCCAAGCTTACCCTGTGGATTCCAAATGCAGCAGTCTGAATTCCCATACTGTTGCATATTTATTCCATTTGAAATAATTTGCAAAATAGTTCTTCCAATGGAAGCATCACACATTAGAGCACTTTATGGCCTAGAATGTGTTGGGGCTTGAGCTCCAACACATCAGTCTACAGTTAGAAAAACCACCTTGACATCCTAGGCTTCATAGTTCCTTCTGGCTCAGATCAACGATATGAAGGAAAATAATGAGCCCACTGTCTTCTGCTTCGTTGTAAAACACTACTCACATGTATAAGTAGAAGGGTCTTTACTAGAAAACTTTAACATCTTTAGTATGAAACACAGAAACGAGCATTTCTCTCTTTCTGTTTTTGAAGCCCACTAAAATATCACATGTTGTTTTCACAACAGTCTGTTCATTCTAGTCTACTAGACAAAGTCTCAAATATCTGGTTGAGTTTTCATCAGCCCAAAATATGTGACTATTTGTCTCAAACCTCCTTCAAAATTTGGCCTTGCAGATGGTGAATTTCCAGCATCCCAAACTGATGATCTATTTTCTCTAGTTACCTGTCACGAAGACTTCGTGTTTTGGCTTGAATTATTCCCAAATCCCACAGGGCTGGATTCCTGCGATCGCCACTCTGCTTGTGCCCGTAAACCTCAATTGCCAAAGCACCATCATAAAGATGCTCCATGAAGTCTTCAGAAATACTTACAGAAAATTCCTGTGAACCGACATAACAAAAGTGGTTAATGACTCTGACCACTGACAACACTGACTTCCAAACAAAAATCTTCCACTGACTTTTCCAAAATGGAAAAGGCCACTTTGATAGTCTGCATAAGCTAAACTGTAGTCACATTAATACAACTAACCCCCTTTAAGTGCCTCCACTGTCTGAAATTCCTGCAAAATCCATTAAAGACTTTTCACAAAGTTGTTTAAGGGTCTGGAAGCATTATTAGAACTGTTACAGTCTTATTTCTATAGCTAATCTTTCCTGCTGTGTGCATTCACATCCTACCATTTTTAAGCACAAAATGGTTAGCATTTTCCTATCCATATTGCTGGCAACAAAGTAACACCTAAAAGTCACAGTGAGGGTTAGAGCCCTGTTGTTTTGACTTTACTGTATGCATGTACTAAAGTCATTCTGTTTCCCAAGACATTAGGACATGATACAGAGGAACAAAAGACCTGTTATCTCATTTTGGGGATGCAAGGCAAAAATGGACAACTTGCTGAAGATCCAAGTCTTAAAGAACTGAAAAATGACCCCATGCTGCCCAAATTCACATTTCCTAATATTTAGGATCCAAGCATCAAAACTTAGAGATACTCAACTGTATCCACTTTAAGAATCATAAGCTAAAAGGACTAAATGAAAATGACCCCATGCTGCCCAAATTCACGTTTCCTAACATTTAGGATCCAAGCCTCAAAAACTCAGAGATACTCAACTGTATCCACTTGAAGAATCATAAGCTAAAAGGACTAAATTTCTCAATGCATTAACAATTTGGAGGAAGAACAAGATGAGAACACAGGCAATGCCTGGGATTCATCTGACTTTAGACATCTCTGTTAAAGACGTCTCCACTTAGCTAGTTGCTCTACTGTCAACAAGCCAAAAGAGCCACTTCCCAGATATGTGTCCCCACTTAAGTCACACACTTAAGGCGTGTGTAAGGATGAAAGGTCTCATGTCCTCATGTCCTGGAACCACCCATTTCTCTCTGAACATCAGAGTGCTCAGTGATCAGCTCAAATGCAGACACAAACGTACTCAAATATCCCTCTTCCCACTCTTAGGCATTCTTACTGCAGCTAAACTCTAACATAAATCTCCCTGTTAAACAGATTGTTTCACTTTATCAATCCACTTCATCTTCTTCAGTGACTTTTGTGCACTGAACAGTGCAGTGCAATGGATTCTGAAGAGGTTTTGAGTCTTGTTAAAGATGGTTAATAAAACAGAAAAGAAGATTTACACTGCAGTGATCGAAGACAACCATGCACCGTGGCTCCTTGCTGCTGGGAGATAAGGAAGGATACACCTCAGGGGCAACATTAACTGGCTCCAGCTGATCCCAGAACGTGTATTTGCAGAACACAAAGTTGGAGAGGTGTTGTGGTAAGCCTGTGGCTTGAAGTATTTTAATCTAGAAAGAGATAAGAAACAAGTTATTAGTCAGGTGTCAAATGAAAAGGCCTCCTGTTAGAACAACATTCTTCTGGTCCATTGCAAAGGATAACTAAGAAGTTTTGGGGGACAAAAAGGCTTTTGGAAACATGTTTCTGCACTGAAACACACTGGACTATTTTTACTGCATCAGCTTAAAATTGCCACTAGATGTCACCAAGCACCTACTTCTGTGGAATGAAAGAGCGCGGGATGAAACACAAAAAGCCACTTCCTTCACTTTTTATGCACAACACACCAAACTCCTGCCCCAAATTGGTCATATTATCCACTAACCCAATGATCAGTGGATTCAGGCCCTGAAACAGAAGGCTGTAAAAACATAATGCCCAAGTGTTAAACTCTGCACATACCACTGACTGACCAGCTATTTCCTTTGCCCTTTTTAAAGTTTTTAATCCAAAACATCAGGAAATGTTTTCATATAGTCTACCAGCATGTCCAAAGGTAGAACTCTGCTTGTGTAGCTGAATACTGGAAATAAACACTGTGGAATGGGGTTGCAATGAGACATTTAACAACCAGCAAAGCAGCCAACACACCATGGACTTTTTCATTTTAATACCCAGTTGAAAAGGGAGAAGTTTCCTCACAGGCTGGGATGTATCTGCAACTCACCATGCAGACGAGTTTTCTCTCCTGAATGTCATTTTCGGGTGAAGATTCTGGACTATCCTCACCTCCTACCAGCCTGTCCTCTATCTCCCCACTCACACGAACAACTTCAACATGGAGACGACCAGACACCTGATGAAAAAGGGAAAAGAGAAAGTTATTTGATGCCAGGGAACAGTAATATTTTTCAGGTACCTACAGGTACTGTGATTTCCAGTTCATCAGCAAACATTTTCTTCCTTTTTATATTTTGTGCTGCAGATTTGTTGCATCAATGAATGCTTTGGAGCCACTACAGTGACTCTGAGAACAGCATGATGCATCTCACCTCTCCACCAGTCTCTGGAGGGCCTGCAAAGCCTAATTCAAGTGTACATTCAAGGGGTACAACTGAGGACACTGCTTAGTATGCCCTAGCTGCCCACAAAATTCTTCTGTTTTTGATACTGGTTCCACTAAACAGTTTTTGGGGGGAGTTGTTTGCTTAGCAAGGTGGTGGCAAAGCTTTCCCCTTTCACAATCACTAAGTGGGGATTTGGAGCAAACAACTGCAGTAAGGTATTTGGATTTGCATAATCCTAAATTGTTAGCAAAGAACTTGTGCACAGGAAACTGGAATTTACTGGTAATAAGAGCTTCACACTGTCATTAAAACAGTTGAATGGGGAAAGATTATAGAAGGAATGACAAACCTCTCCCTTCTGATTGATGATGGGAACGGCATACTGTAGCTTCACATCATAGAAGAGGCACTCAAGAAAAACATTGGCTACTCCAATAAGGCTGTGGTTTTCGTGTTCATCATAGAACGGATCAGCTCGCCTGAAGTACGCTCTCATCACCTGGAATCAAATTCAGAATAATGTAAAAAAACCCAAAGTTTTCAAAGCAGCGCACAACTAGCCCAGCAAAAATAAAATGGGCACAAGCAAGAGATCAAATTAGAATGAAGAATGATAGAATTCATCACAAGAATGAAAACTTGAGTTTTATTCTGAGGACGGTTTCTAGCAAATTCTCCTCAACTCTTTTAGACTTAACACCTGTTGCATTTACTTAGCACTTCTTTGTGTGTGTGTTTCTGCCATCAAACTGCATGTGCAAGCAAGCATCAAAGCACCAAGATAAGGGCACTGAAGTAACTGAAGACTGCTTCAATACTAGAAGAAAATAAATAAATAAATAACCCCCGCAACCTCTGCCTTTTCCCTCTCCTGACAAAACCAGAAGATTTTCCCACACCTACTTAAACTAAAAATGTAACAGGGATGTGGTTCTAATCAGCACAATGCTGGAGTTCTCATTTTTACTTACTGGGTTGTCTTCCTCACAGTCTTTCCACTCTTGGTAGAGATCCCTCATATCTACCAGTCGATTTTCCAGTTTTTCCAGTGACCAAATCTGTTTGCCTTTCCCTTTTCTTCTCACCTGAATAGCAGGCTCGCTGAGAATTGCACCTCTCTGGAAAACAATTAGATAAGGAATCAATGTCACAACAATGAACAGTTGTTCAAAAAACAACGAGGACGTGGCATGCACTGAGAGCCATTTCAATGCACGTGAATACCTTGGCAAATTATCTGAACTTACCTTGGCAAATTACCTGGACTATTTCATTGGAGCCACAATAAGAAAAATCTAAAACTCTAAGGCAAAGTTATTGAACAAAAAATGGTGTCACTAGAGCTATCTTACCTTACTGTTAGCATTAAGGCTTGAAGCTGGGATCTGGAGTGTGACTTTATACTCTGTCCTCTTGTCTAATTCCTCTCCAATGAAATTGGCTTCTCTCACATATAAATTGGCTTTAACAATCTGCTCTCGCAGCTTCCTCAGGCTGTGGGTCAACATTTCCTCTCTAAAAGAAGGGGATTTGCATGGAGACAGAGAAGATAATTTAGGAATTAGGAACTGAAATTGAGAGTACAGTGCTAATGATCGCTTGGCAGAGGAGTTTGTTCATTCAAGTTAGCCGCTTTTTAACACAAAGGTCAGGGCTATTAAACTGCACTTCTGTTGCAAAATAATAAAAAAATGAGTATCTGTGTGAATTTAGTAGCATGAACATCAGCATAGTGTTGGCTTTGGAGACTTCTCCATGCATCTGCTTAACAGTGAGCACTTGTGTGGCCTGTTCCAGAGCCTTCCCACCATGAATGTGCATGTTCCATCCTGCAGAGAAAGGTTTCTTTAGATTTGCTCACTGACCTCCCTGCTGAGTGCATGAGAGTGTCAACTGCAGTGCAGGAATCTAGCACCACAAAATATTCCAGACAGACAACGAATGTCTTGTTAGATTGCCTCAAGTACCAATCTAAAGGAGCAGCTTCTGAAATTGAAACTGTTTTCTCATTACAGTGCCCCTCTCATTCTCATTGTTTCAGGGAAAACTTCATCCTTCTCTTGCTGCTGCTCTTTTTGACAGCAAGGCTGGCAAAGACTATTCACAGGCAAGTAGTAAATATCCTCAAGGAAACTGTCTGTGAAGAGGCACCGTGGCCCTTCCCTGTTTGTAAAATAAGTGCATCAGTCTTTCCAATGCTCTGGATCTTTTTTTTTTTCTCATTCTGCATCCTCTGGCTGCTGGAACCGGCCCAGGTCAGGCAGATGTAGGTGAGTAAAGAGGAAAAACACCCCTCCAGCAGCCGAGTCAGGAATAAGCAGAAGAAAAGATCACACAGAAGCCTCAAAATTTCTTCCAATCACCTAATCTTTAGTCAAATTTAATGCTGGCGAGGACAGAGTTTCTCCTTAGCTGTGAAACAGACACTCTTCTGTCTTCTCCAGTATCACTGGTCTGAATATTCTTACGGTCATATTTTCGCTCCGTCCTTCCCGCTCCCTTGCAGGTTTCTTCTCGGAAAGCAGGCAGCAGGGTGGGAAAACTACAAAATCCCCCAGCAATAAAAATCTGATACAAGGGATGTGCATTGAATTCCTCACCTCTCTTCTGCCCACTGCCGTAGGCGCTGCTGAGCACTGGGGGAGTGGAAGGAGAACCTGTCCATGCTGCGGAAATGCTGCTTCTCGGGGGACAGTCGCCTCCTCAGCTGCTCCAGCTCATGCTCGTACATCAGCCTCTGCCGTTCCAGCGCGGATCTCTTCTCCTCCTCGTGCTGCTGCTCCAGGCTTTGCAGGATAGACTGCATTGGATCTAAGCAGACGGTGGGAAGAAAGAAGCACTTCTGGGTTCAAACATCTAATAAGTGTAAAATTAAGTGGAAAGGGTGAAGCGGTGAACACGGGGCAGAGACTGAGCCTCAGGTTCTGCTTCCCCAGGTTCTGTTTCAGATATTTTGCATGATTTTGGGCATGATTTTAGGTGCCTTGATACACCACCTCCCCTCCCTACTTAGGGGATGCAGTAGCCTTTGAATTCTATGGGGGAAGAGCACCTGAAGCAGTAAGAAGTGTTATTCTGAAAAAGGAAGGAGAATTTGCTTTTTGCTTTTAGGCACAGATTTAAAATCTGAAAAAGGAAGGAGAATTTGCTTTTAGGTACAGATTTTAAAAAACCCACATTATTGATGAACTACAGAATAAATAAATATTGACAGAAGAGACTGGATGAATGATTTAAGAAAATCTGGAAAGAGAAAGACCAAGTGGAAAGAAACCTTGCTGTTGCCATTCTGGAACAGCTATGCAAGACCACAAAAACAGAGTTTCAGAAACAGGGATCATTATGGCTAATGCCTGGGTCAGACATAATGCAAGAAAAATACCCAGCAAAGTGGAAACACCTCAATTCTAGACTGCAGTACCAGCAATAATCCAGTTTGGGCTTTTGTTTTTTCCTTCTTCTTCACAAAAACTGCCAAACATAACATTCTGCAGCTGTGCTTTTCCTCTCAAGTGCAAAAATGACTAAGTTGACTCATTCGTAAGAAAATTTCTCCAAAAGGAAGTTATAAGGGAAAAGCATTTCTCTGGCAAAGAGTCCCTGAAGATGCAACAATATATTCTGTACTATTTCCAATAATTTAGCTGCTTCTTACCATTGCTACCAAGCGCCTTCATAGTGACTTCCATTTGGGCATACTCATAGCTGAAGTTAATCTCACTGGACACTTCACTGGAATTGTCCCCATCTATGTCCAGCTGCTCGATGCTGTTGCTGCACTTCATAGAGTTGTCTCGCTCTTCATCTTCCTGTTCTGCCTTCTTTTTCTTCTTTGGCAAGTTCAGCCTTGAAAAGTAGGAATTTTTAAAAGAATTATTAATTGTTCAACTCTGGAAAAAAGAAATAGGTTGCTTGAAAAGATTATTAAAATTAAGCAGGTTGTCCAAAACAGTATTTAAGATTTTTCTTTCAAAAGCTGCTCATTTTTGGTGAATGCAATTGGTGCCAAATTGCACAACACTCAATTACTAGATGAAATTAAAGTTATCATCTCACCAAAGAGATCTAATGATAACAGTACAGATAACAGTGACCCTCATCAGCCAGCTTGCAGTCCTTTGCAAATGCAAGAAGTTGCTTCAGCTTCATTGCTTTGACATTGAAGCTATGGACACTGCCTATGGCATTTATTATTCAAGAATAACCAATCATCAGTGTTGCCTTTATAAGCCAATAAAAAAGAAATCAGCTCCTCCTGCACCTTGAAGGCTCACTTGTCATCCTTCCTTATACTATAAGGCAAAACAAAATTATCTCAGAATTTCTTTCATGTCTTTCGTACCTGAAGAAGTGGTTGTTTCCCCATAGTATTCTGTCTCCATGATGTAGCTGGACAGGACCCGTAACAGCAGACCCATTTACAAATGTCCTTTGAAAAGAGGAAAATCCAAAGCAAAGGCACTTTCGTAAGGCTTATTTTTTTCCAGTACTGCTTTTTACTGTAGCTAGTTAACGTAAGGGAAGAAGTTCATGGATTACAAACAGGCAAAACATCCCCAGAAGCTTCAGCAAGGGCTGTTTCACAAACTCCTCAAAATCAACTTCTTTTGATTGCGAAAGTTTTATGGAATTTGCTACTTTGGGGTAGATACTACGACAGCTGTGTCTGGGGAATATAACTATTGCTTAAAAACAGAGAGTCTGCAAAAAAGAGAAAGTGCTGGAAATAAACACTTTCATGGGGCTTTGAAACACAAACACAAAATACATTTGAATAAGACATGAGAGAACTCACGTGTTTACTTAGCTTAAACACAACGAACTAATGAGAACCATCAAAAACTTTGCATTTATTTCCAAGTGAGACAAAGCCTGAAAATATGATCATAATTCACATTGGAAAGGATCTCTGGAAGATCTACTTCCATCTCCTGATGAAAGTGTAAATGTAAAATTCCTGATTTTTGTGGATCTAATGACAGCTTACTGAGGACACTGAAGACACAAGTCATTTTGAAATGGGTCTAGATACAACATCTGACTTGCAAGGATTCATCTACACTAACCTGAATCTACAGTATTTGCTGTGGGTTATTCAGCATCTCTCTGAAAACTTAGACTACAAACTCTACCAGTGGCAGAAATCTATTTTGAACAAAAGCTAAGGGTTTACAGAAAGGAAAATGACAATCCAAACAAAACTCAGAAGCAGAATACAAGAAACAGAATTTCCATACTTCAGACAAAATGGAAAAGCATCTGTTTTAGTTACATTTTTGTACTGCCAAGCATAGATACTAGCTAAATCTACAGCTATTACACAACTAATGCTCTATCTTGATCATTTACCTCGTGTTCTTCTGAGGTGTTAACATCACCTGTCCTTCTGGAGTGATGTCTATAATGCAATGTTCAGGAAGAATTCCCATTCCACATAGCTGGATATCTTGAGAGTTGTCTGATCCTATTAATGTGTGCTCCTGTGGAAAGTTAATTCAGATGTTAGCAACTGATTGCAGAAGGTCCTTAATTACAACTCTGCCATTCTTCTTCTGCATGTATCTTCTCATGTCATTACAAAGCTTGAAAATTATTTAATACTTCCTTTAGAGGGGAAGAAGGTGAAAGAAACAGTGCAAACAAATCGTTACCATTTCTTACATAAACAAGGAGGGAAGGAACCCTCAGGAAAGTTAATGGTCAACAGTTAAAACCAAAGATGAAGAGGTTTTTATAATTAAATTATGAAATCCAGTGCCTCAGTATACTGTGGAATAAAAGAGTTCAAAAGGAAATCAAGACAGGTTCCTGATGCTTAGACCCATTGCTATTACACAGGTTGCACCTAGATCATCCTTTGGCTCAGTAAATCCCTGGAGCACTTGAAGTAGTGAGGGATTTGGGAGAGAAAGGATCACTCTACACATGCTCCTGTTCAATTATTATTTTTCAGCCTATCTAGGCAACTTTTGAGGAACAGATATAATCATTTAGATAAATCACACAGAGTTTTAATTCAATGTTTTTATAAAACGATTAGTAAATAAGCAACTCAGCATTACAGAGGATGTGGGTAAAATAATCTAAGATCGCAGAGAGTTTAATTTAGGCAGTCTCACTACGTCCACCTGAGATTTTTATACTGCTACGGACGGGCCAAGGCCAGTTTTCTGAGCAGGCTTTGTCTCCAAAGGCTTCTTGTCATGTGTTCACACTGAACACCAGAGCAGTCAGCTCTGCTTCAATAGCTGTCAGTGTTGAGGCTGATGCAGCAGCTTGAGTCACACTCTGGACACCTACATGCAAGTCGCCCGGAAAAGCTTCAATTCCTCTCCCAAAACCTCAGCTCTTTCCTCTGTCTTAATGTATTTAGCAGGGGCAGCAATGAAGAAGTTTTTTTCTCTTGATTTCAGTGAGATTTCCCAAAGCAACAGTAAGACAACTGATATGAAGAGGATCACATATTTCTTTGGAGAGACAAACAAAAGCATCTTTCAGCCCAGATGCTAATCATGTGGCTGCTCTGAGAGTCACTAACCACCACTTCAAAGAGAAGAGAGTGACTAACGTGAAGCTCAAACTGCCAAAGCTTTTACACTGTTTTAGAACTCATATTTTGAAGTGTGGCTTAAAAAAGGCTGCATCTCAATCCTCCTTCTGGCTCTCCATCAACGCTACAGTTTGTGAAACAAGAACAAACTGTTGAGCTGTTTCAGTGCAGAGTCCAAAAGTCATCACACATCTTTCCTCATGTTTAACACTAGTGAAAAAGGCTGCACATCAGCACAGGGGATGAGGCAGAGCAGAATTTGATTTTCACACTCAGAAATCTTTGCACCTACTGATTCTACTCACTAGTGAAAAAGGCTGCACATCAGCAAAGAGGATGAGGCAGAGCACAATTTGATTTTCACACCCAGAAATCTTTGCACCTACTGAAGGAATACTAAAAGGAATAAATAAATAGGAAGGAAGTACTAAAAGGAATAAATAAAAATGTGTTTGGTAAGCAGAAGTCATTAGTTTGAATTTTGACAACACGCTAGGAAGTAAACTGATTACTGAGATGCCCAATACCTAAACAAACCACTTTTCTGAGCAAAGCCTTGTGAAAGCTGCCGTAAAAAAGACAGTTTATAAAGGAGAATGATCATAAAAAACTCTAAACACTTGCTCCCACAAAACAGATCAATTCACACTCCAAACCATCTTCTACTACAGAGTATTAAAAATCCAAAATAAAAAGGCTATATCGTTCTCCTGAGCCACTGAATAACAGAGAATATTTCCAATAGGCCTTTTTATAATAGTCTCTAAGGAGGTCTATGCCACAGGCATTAGGTGCCCGCCTTATTAAGAAAATGCATTTTTCTATTTTTACCTTTAAATAGTACACCAGAAGTTCATTGAGAGCTGGGTCTGCATTCAGATTAACCAGGAAGCACTTGTTATCCCCAACCTTTATTCCTGAAGACTGAAGGGAAATGCCAAGGCTTTCCAGCTGCTTCTGACGCTCCTGCAAAAGAACAGCCATCCCAAAATTAGTGTGATTGCTGTATATCCTAGGAGATGCATTCCTACCTGCCAAAACACAACGAAAACACGACGGGCAGCTACTTTGAAAAAGGTAATTATTTCTTCAGCAATAGATTTGACACAAATACAGGAGGATTTCTGCAATTTCTCACGTCCTTTTACCTCTGGAGCCAAAACAGAGTGCTATGTGCTGTGGTCTCAGCCAGTTGCATCTTCCTAGGGAAGGATGAAAACAGCTGAGAGCATCAACACTGCAGCACTGTGGGCGCTTCTCCATGACCTCACTGCAACAGCACCACCACAAAGCCATCTCTAGAGCCCTTTATTTTCCCTCTCTAATTAAAAGGCAACAAATTAAGTTAAACCTCTGTCAGGCCAAGCTCCATGTCTATCTTTTATCCCACAGAAATCACAACAGCAACAACAAAAACTGAAAACTTGCTATTTAAATAATGCAAATAACACTTCCTGCTAAACAAGAATAGCAGCATTTTGGAGGGTGTTTTGTTCTTGTCAATCGGCTTCTTAGAACCCAGCACAAAGCAGCACTGTTTGGAATGCACAGCTTTCCAAGGGAAGCGTTCGGGTGAAGACTGGAGCACTGATAGAAGAACATGAAACATTTCTGCCTCACAAAACAGAAAGGGATTCTTTTATAAAAATGTCAAGCCAGAAATGCCTCTGCACCC